GAGAGAGAGAGAGAGAGAGAGAGAGAGAGAGAGAGAGAGAGAGAGAGAGAGAGAGAGAGAACAAAAAAAAACAGCCCCCTTCCTTCGCCCCTCCCTGCCATTGACAACGATATATATATATATATTTTATTAAGTCGATTCTTGCTCAGTTGAGTCAGTTCCATTCTACAAGGTAGTTTGACTGGTTCCTATTCCACCGGCAAGTCAGAGAATACAGTGTGACACACTCAAAGTCTCAAACACATGCCCCCACTAGGGCTGAGGCACCAATCAACATCATTGATTATTTCCATTCTGAAGGATCGACTGTCAGTTGCACCCATACTACCGATTTGAAACCCTCCCCTTACGTTCCTGAATCCCTCTCAAAACAAAGAATAACTCCCCAAAAAAAGCAAAACCGACCATGAGAAGTGGCATTTAGTCGACCTGCGAGTTGTATAAAAGGAATCAATTTCAATGCTGATCCTCAGAAGGAAGGAGAAGCCTTCCCAACAGTGTGCACTCATTGGAAGAGGAGCCAAAACGATCAGGACGTCATCATTTCTGTGAATCGCAGCTCGCAGAAACCGCTATGTGAATCGCCCACTGGCAGAAATATGCAAACAATATTCTCTACAGAATGAGCAATGTCTATCTGGAATACATGATCTGAGTGAGCGCTGGTTTGCATCAACTGCATTGTACAGTAGGGAGCATGCCCGAATTGTCCTAGAAGCAAATTTTGAGCAAGTCAAACAGCTTCAGTTACATGCAATTGGCTCACAGCAATATTATCAGCAAGAGGGATCCATCGAGTGTTCTCCTCAACTACGAGTCTTTCTACCTATCTCCTTCTTCTACTCCCTCTCTTCGCTTCCCTCTTCTTGGGCACTGCCCAAACCAAGCTATGGAGTGTCAGGCACTTCGTATCGAGCATGCTCTCACTATATACACTGCCCGTCGATCTCATCATTTCACCCCTGCAGCCCTGCTGCAGTTCCTCAACCCTCAACTTCAATTCTTCAAACTTCTCTATAAAAAAAAAAGACAGAAAACTTAAAAAAAGAAAAAAAAGTGCCTTTCTCCTAGGCTACCAGAGTGGCCCGGGGTCACTTGCCCGGCCGGGCCAAAAAAAATTAAAAAAAATAAAAATAAAAATATTTTTTTTTTATTTTTATTTTTTATTCCAAATTTGGTGAAGAATTTCGATGTGACCCTGAGGCAAAAGTTGTTTAGTTTGTTTTTCTGCATAACATAGATTTTTTGCTGGTACCTTCCCTGGTCCTTGCACGGGCTGGCCACCCGGGACCCGGGCGGCCCGGCTGGTAGACTCTGGGCAAGCACTCTCTCCACTTTCCCATGCTACTCTTTCAGTTGCGGAAAAGCATTATTAATCTATTACCCCTTGAGGGCTCCACTTCTGGATGTTCTTATTACGTAGTCTGACAGTCCCATGACTTCCATTTCATCATCTAACCATCAACTTCAAGTCTTCAAATTTCTCTACCCCCCCAATGCTCTTCCCACTTTGATTCCAGCGGCTGCACCCCCTGGGCAAGCAGTTCCTCAACCCTTTCATGCTCCTCTACCAGGTGCTGAAGCCTCCACAGCAGTACCCACTGATAAGAAGAGGAGCAGAAAGAAAAGAAAAGGATGTCATCATTTTTGTGAATCGCCAACCCAAAGAACCGTTTTTCTCTATATCCCATAACTTTATAGCCCCACAGGAGACACTTTTTCTCAATTGAAGAGCTGAAGCATTCTGCAGTTCGACACCAATTTCGTCAGGAAGAACCTGCCCAGGCCTGGTCAGTAAAAGGGCCTTTACGATTCAGACCCGTAAATGTGACCCCAACATAAAAGGGCCCTCTCGGCCAGAAATCAACTCTACGAGCAGCATTCCAAAAGACAATTTCCCTGAGGCAAATGTCGCATCCAGTGTGGGATGAACAGTCGTTTTGAATAGTCACAGTCAGGTCCTAGACGAACAGGTACTGGGTTCAAATTTTAAGACTGAGATAGGGTCATGTCTGTTCGGCAATAAGTCAAAGGTCACAGTCCTAGACTAGTCACAGCCCCACGAGTCAATTCTGACTCAGACCAGGAGTCCAAAAGACAGGCCCGACGGCCAAAGCAGCAGCAGACCATGAGAAAGGGTACTGGGACACGCACTTTGCAACAACAGGTACTAGGCAGGAGTCCCAGGCACTTGGAGGCCGAAAGCAGACCTCGCCAGACCAGTCCAGCGCTATAAAGGACTGGCCAGCCTCCCCATTCGGCAGATACTCATTCGCATGAGAGTGTGGAAGTGCTGAAGGCACTTGTGCGCCAGATGTGATCGAGCAGCGCTAGGCTTGAGAGCTACGCTGAAGGAAGAGAGAGTTGGGCGCTGGCTGAAAGGAAGGCAGCCATAGCTGCACCAGTGCTAGTTAGTATTAGCAGTAAGAATAGTCAGTAGAGAGGACCAGTGAGTAGTATTCAAGAGTAGATCCTCGTGCGATAGGGAGTGTGCATGCATAGTGAGTGTGAGTAGACCAGGACCATAGTCAGATAGAGAGAGAAGAGAGATCAGGAAAGGAAGAGAGAGAAGAGAGCTATGGTGTGACTTACCTGTGGACCGCCATTCTGGTGATAGGCTGCTGGCGCTGTTGAGCGCTAGGACTGGAACTCTTGCTGGATGAAGAAGACTTATAATTCTGTTGGGCGCTATAATGATTCTCCTCCTTTGATCTGGTTACTATAATTGAGTTGCACTTCCTGGTTTCCATTTATCTTCCATTGAACTTCGTGCGAGTCATTGCAATCCGTGTGATCTGTGTTACATGCATGCTATCTGGTACACTCCAGCTCCAGCAAGTGACGAAAGGACAGGTTCCTTGCATCAGCATCTAACCTCTCCCCAAGTTCCTCAACCCTCGACTTCCATTCCTCAAAGTTCAAACTTAGATTACCAGTGCTTCCCTCTCAGAGTCCAGCAGCTGCAGCCTCTGGACCACCACTTTCTCCACTGTTCCGAACCCCTCTTTGTAATGTTGATGTGTTTTCACCACTTCAAGCCTCAACTTCCGCAGCTCTTGCTCGATTTCCTTATCACGACCAAGCTGCCCAGTGTTGACTTCCTCCCCTTGCTGCTCTTCGTTCCTTTCCATTGTCGCCGATCCTGACCCATCATGGCCCTCACCCTGAGTAACGTGCTGGTATGCTTCATTGTCGAACCTCCCCGCTCTGCTGCTTCGACATTGCCGCCTCTGCTTGTTCCTCTCAATGTAATCATGATGAACCACCCCCAACACCAGTAGACTTCCATCTTTACCTCCAACAGCGATCCTGTTGGACTTTCCACAGCGAACCCCATGCTACAAGTAGCTTGAAGGCCAGTTGAAAAGGAGTACACGAGCCTCTACTGCCGGTCGTCCCAGAGCTCAATTATCCCATCGCTAAACACAACAAAGAAATAAGGAAAGCGGGGATGCAAAACAAGACTTTGTGTCGAGATGGCATTCGGATGCTCGGGATACTTGCCTCACACAGTGCATATGAAGGACCCTTTCTCGCACTCCCAGACTTGTATTCCACAGGAGCTGTTGGTTGTGATAAGACGTTTGCTTTCATGCTTGATGAAAAATTCAATGCCGCGGATGCTCTCACGGGTGCTTACCGTTTGGATTACAGACCTTTTCTCTATCCTATAACACGTGCAAAGATATTTGGCTTCATTGGACGAAACCCTAAGGGACCAATATTGCAAGTATCAGCAGAAAAGGAAACCAATGCCCAATCCCGGTCCCAATCGTAGCGTTTAATGTCACCAGCATAAGCATACAACAGACAAGGCAGGCTCGGACGGATCACCACATGGCAATCGAAGATCTGCCTACCGCCGAGCTCTTTGAAACCCACCAGCTTCAAGCCCGAGTTACATATCTTGAAGATCATCATGCCACCCTTGCGATAATTCCATACAGC